CAGAAAGTGAAGAAGACTTAAAGAGCCTCTTGTTCAAGGTTAAAGAGGAGGTTAAAAGATGTTTGCTCCTTGGAATAAAAGCAATGAAACCTAGACAGTGTATTAAAAAGCAGAGACATCACTTTGCCTACAAAGGTCTGTATAGTCAAAGCTATTGTTTTTCCAGTAGTCATGTATGGATGTGAGAGCTGAAAAATAAAAAAGGCTGAGTGCCGAAGAATTGACGCCTTCAAACTGTAGTGCTGGAGTCTTGAGAGTCCAGACTGCAAGGAGATCCAACCAGTCAGTCCTAAAGGAAATCAGTCCTGAATATTCATTGGAAGGACTGATGCTGAAGCTGAAGCTCCAATACTTTGGCCACCTGATGCAAAGTGCTGACTCATTGGAAAAGACCCTGATGCTGGGAAAGACTGAAGGCAAAAGAAGAAGGGGATGACAGAGGATGAGATGGTTGGGTGGTACTATCAACTCAATGAACATGAGTTGGACCAAACTCCTGGTAAATACTGAAGGACAGTGAAGTCTGGCATGCTGCAGTCCTTGGGGTCACAAAGAACTGGACATGACTGAGCAAACAACAGCAGAACTGAATCACAACAGCATAGTTATAAACTAAGGTTATTCAGATACTTGTTCAAACAATAGATATGTAGGTCATTGCTTTTTTGAGGTTCTCTCTGATAAATGTACATAAAGAATACACCTAAGAAGATTATTTTGCCTTTCATTTATAGATAAGCTTTGCAAGCAAGTAGCCTAGCTAAATGTATTTTAAACATCTTTTTTCTTCTTTTGGAATAGAACTACTTATTGAAGTTGGATTTGTACTGCACTTTAACCTATAAAATGGATGAAAGTGGACATATTTTCATAGAAAATAGAAGAGTGAATCCAAAAATCTCCAGGTGATTTTCAAATTTGAATAGAAGTGTAATAGAACTAACAGGACTTTAGGTTAGGATTACTGGACTGGACGACTGTGGTACATTACCATCATCACACACCACTTTCTTATTTTGTTGTCAAAAAACCAAAAGATGCATGCAAGTATAATTATTTCTTCTTAACTTGAATATTCTAAAGTTCAAGTCTAGTCTAGAGATTTGGGAATTGGTGACTGTTGAGCAGAAATGGAGTGGAAGGTATCATTGGCGGTGGTGGTTTAGTTGCTGTCGTGTCCAACTCTTGAAACCCCATGGACTATATCCCACCAGGCTCCTCTGTCCTTGGGATTTTCCAGGCAAGAATACTGGAGTGATTTGCCTTTTCCTTCTCCAGTGGATCTTCCCGATCCAGGGATCGAACCTGGGTTTCCTGCGCTGTAGGCAGATTCTTTACTGACTGAGCTACCAGGGAAGCCCAAAGAGAGGGAAGGAAAGCGTTAGAATAAAAAGAGACTGAAATCATAAAGGGAAGAAAACATGGTGGCATGTGCTAATTTTTAAAGACACAGATAACACAAATTTTATTTAATCTTAATTCATTTTTTAATTATTTGAAGCATATCATGTTTATGTCCCTGCTCATTGGTGCTAAAAGTATCTTAAGGTAAAATATCTGCTTTTCCTCAATTTTTCTTATGGCTTCTCTCAGGCTCAAATCTCTTGGAACAATGCTTTAGAGATAGTTTTTGTTTGTTATGTTCAGTTGCTAAATCATGTCCAACTCTTTGTGACCCCATGGACTGTAGCCCACCAAACTCCCCTGTCCAGGGGATTTCCCAGGCAAGAATACTAGAGTGGGTTGCCATTTCCTTCTCCAGGGAATCCTCCCAACCCAGAGGTTGAACCTGTGTCTCCTGCATTGACAAGTGGATTCTTTACCACTGAGCCACTCAACTCTCAAAACATCCACAGGGCCGATCAGATAGTACATAGAGAGGCAAATGAAGTAAACATCTGGAGATAAACTACCGATTTATGAAGACAATCTAAGAAATATCAGCACAAAATAGTATCCTTACTTAACAAAATCAAACCAAAGATGAATGAATAAACCTGGCACAAATATTTATTTCTGTGTCTACTTATTACAGTTCAGAATCATTATAACAGTAAGATTTAAATTGTGCCATATTTTGTCACTAACACACTGATGGTGACAAATGAAGGGATTTGTAAAATTAATCCAGGTCAAACCAAATCAAATATCACAGAAAAAGATATTTTCAAGGAAATGATTATTGGTTATTGTCCATGCAGTGACAACTAAAAGCTAAGTCATTTCTTATGTTAACATCCAGATTTCTTTTACTAAAGTATTCCCACTTTAATCAATAAGCAGTTTAGGAAAACATGAAGTGAACTTGGACTGAGTCAATATTTGTCTTGGAAAGCATCAAAAGGGGATGATGGCATTTGGTGCTGGATGACTCTATTCAGATACTTTGAAGAACCCACAAAAGAATTTTGAGGGGTGGCGGGATTGCTGAAACCAGAGATTTTAAAACTGAACCCCAACCCAGTGATTTGTTGATGAATTATAGTTTCAACACAGTATTCTCAACATCCAAGTTGTTATGGAAACCTTTCATAATGTTTCAAAATCTGCAAATCAGTGTGATACACCACATTAACAAACTGAAAAATAAGGGTTATATAATCAGCTCCATAGATGCAGAAAAAGTTATTTGACAAAATTCAACATCCATTTATGATAAAAACTCCCATCAAAATGAGTATAGAGAGAACATATTTCAACATATATGACAAATCCACAGTTAACATCATACTCAACAGTGGAAAGCTGAAAGCATTTGTTCAGGGACAAGAGAAGGCTGATCATTCTCACCACTTTTATTTAACACAGTATTGGAAGTTCTAGCCACAACAATCAGACAATAAAAATAAGCACAAAGTATCCAAAATGGAAAGGAAGAAATAAAACTGTCAATATTTGCAGATGATATGAAATTTTGTAAAGCTGTAGGCTTCAAATTAATGTACAGGAATATGTTGTATTTATATATACTAACAACAAAGAAACTACTAGAAACAGAAATTTTTTTAAAAATCATATTTGCAGTTGCATCAAAAAAAATAAAACATCTAGGAATAAGACTATCTAAGGAGGTAAAAGACATACTTGCAAAACTGACACTGATGAAAGTAACTAAAGACCAGATAAACAGATGAAAATATATGTTAATACCATACTTATGGACTGAAAGAATTAATAATGTTAAAATGATCATACTACCCAAGGTTTTCCACAGATTCAACACAATCGCTATCAAAATACCAATGGCAGTTTTCACAGAACTAAAACAAATAATTCTAAAATTTGTATGGAAACACAAAAGACCCCCAAATAGCCAAAACAATCTTGAGAAAGAAGAACAAACCTAGAGGAATCATGCTTTGTGATTTCATACTATACTACAAGTTAAAGTAATCAAAACCACATGCTACTGGCACAAAAACAAACACGGATATCAATGGAACAGAACAATGAATCTGTGACAAAGGAGGCAACAACATACAATGGGAAAGACAGTCTCTTCAATAAATGATGTCGGAAAAACCAAACAGCTACATACAAATAGATCAAACTGGACTACTTTCTCACACCATTCACAAAAGTAAATTAGAAATGGATTAAAAGATGCAAATGCAAACCCAAAGCATAAAACTTCTAGGAGATAATATGGGCAGCATGCTCTTTGACATTAATCCCAATGATATTTTCTATATATTTCTCCTTAGACAAGGGAAACAAAAGCAAAAATAAACAAATGGGACTACATTACATTAAAAATCCTTTGCACAGTGAAAGAAACTGTCAACAAACTAAAAAGGTTCTCCAGGGGATCTTCTCAACTGAGGGACTGAACCCACATCACTTGCCCTGGAAGGCAGATTCTTTAGTTCTGGGCCACCAGGGAAGCCCATAGGGAATATTACTCAGCCATTAAAAATAAAATATTCCCATTTGTGACAACACAGAAGGACCTAGAGACCTAGAGAGCATTATGCTTACTGAAGTAAATCAGGCAGAGAAAGAAAGTAAAACACTGTATGATTTCACTTACATGTTGAATCTAAAAAACAAAATAAAAGGATAAATATAAAACAGAATTATAGACAGGGAGGACAGACAAGTGAACAGGTGATTGCCGGGGGGTAGGGGGGAGGAAGGGAGGAAAGAAGTAAGGGAGATTAAAAGGTACAAACTTCAAGTTTCAAAGTAACTGAGTCATGGGTATGAAATACACAGTGTGGGGAATAGAGTCAATAACTACATTATATCTTTATATGGTGAAAAATGAAAGTGAAAGTCACTCAAGTGTGTCCAACTCTTTGAGACCCCATGGACTATACAACATGATAAATATAATGAACACTGCTGCATGCTGTATATGAAAGTTGTTAAGAGTAAATTCTAAGAGTTCTTATTATAAGAAATATATATATATATATATATATATATATCTGTCTTTTTGATTTTGCATCTATATGAGATGATGAATGTTTACTCAACTTATTCTGGTAATCATTTCATGATGTATGTAAGTCAAATAATTATACTGTATACCTTAAACTTATAAACTGCTGTGTCAATTATATCTCAACAAAACTTGAAGAAAAACAAAAAATTTGTCAAGCTGACAGTGATTCTAATTTTACAAATGATGAAAACAAGGCTAAGTGAGTTTGATTGACTTGCTCAAGTTACCACAACTATAAGTATTGGAACTGCAATTCAAATATTGGCCCACTTGATAATAAAATTCATGCTCTCATCAAACCATGGTTTCTTTCAAAAAACAGGAAAGAGGATTGACTAAACCTCTAAAAAATTACTGAATAATTTTATGCTTTAGAATGTTTATAAAATTCTGTCGATAATATAAATGGATATGATGTCTACACATAACTTTTCAGTTTTGAGTCCTGTGCAGCCTCATTCTCTCCAGGAAATATCAACTGAAATTGAAAAGAACTGTATGGATTTAGATGTTAGAGACTTCAATGACTTATAGAATGTTTAGTTTGCATTACCTTAGGCAATCTGGGCTTGGGTTCAGAATTATTTTTAGGAACAAAGTCTTTAATGAGGCGAGATCGGTCATAATTAGCATGCTCTGATTCATCCGTGAAATCCTTATCTTTTCCTAAGGCTAGAAAAGAGAAAGAGAAAATTACATCCATTTTTATCCTTCTTTCTTTTCTTTCTCCTTAAATATAATCATCTTTTTTTTCCATGTTTTCTCAAGGTTTAACCAAGAATAATTTTCATATGACCCATATATCCAATAAATAAGCAAAAAAGGTAATAATACAGAGTCTTGCTAGTAACTTTCAGAAAAAATGAAATGCATCTCTGTCATTTAGTGAACTTAAACATTTTGAAAACAAAGTTAAAGTCATGCAAATGCAACTGGAGGTTATCTCTTTTGAACTTGAAAATAGAGATATTTGTAAGAATTCAATACAATTTTGCTTTTTAAGGCAAATTTTACACATTTATTTGCTTAATTAAAAAGACTACATATTTTGGTCATTTTTTAAAGATTGCTGTTTTATAAATATGAACTTGAGTTAAGAGAGTAAGAAGTCTAAGAAATCATATAAGAAATATAAGAAACTTTACAAGAAAGATTAAAAAATATTAGGAGATTGAAATGAAATCACAACAGCAAAAAAGGAGCAAGAACACTGAAATATGGTAATTACCACTGGAAAAATCAAAAAGGGTAACACATATAAGAACTTACATGAATAATGAGCAAGATATAATCAATGTAAAAGAGTATAAAGTAGAAAATATCCATGGTGGTTGCAAGCATCACCAAGAACTAGTGACACATTTCACAAAATTTGTGTTCTAGGTGATACAAATATCTCTCCAAATTAAAAAACAGATTCCTAAATATTTAGCCTTTTCAAATAAATCAAAATGTAATTATTGTAATTATTTTATTCAATCTGTCATTAACCTGTCAACAACAAATTTTGACACAGAAAACTATACACAGTTCTTTCAAGAGTTCAGTCATGTGACTCAGTATTGTAGCAAAATAAATACTACATGCATTACTTTCATTAATAATGCTTAAAGTCTACTATAACATATGACATGTGATGCATAGCTAGCAGTATCAAGTTATTAGCACCTGTATGAACTAAGAATGAACAGATCATTATACATCTTAGGATATAATTAACTACCAATTACATTAACATGCTCTAGGCATTTGACTTATACCTGTATACCTATTAGTAATAGCTATCACTCATAGATGGCTAATATTTGCTGACTGTATACTAAGAGCCAGAAACTTTACATATATAATTTTCTTTAATCCTTATAACAACTCTAGTAGTGTGTATGATTTTTTATCTAGGCAATGATAAACAAACTAAGGCGTATGCAAATTAAGTAGCATGGCAAAGTTGCTGATCCATTAAGGGGTACACCAAACACATCCAAACTGATGCCAAAGCTGATGTCTGTGAACGTACTATAATGTTTCCCAAGACCTAGGCAAGGGTTTCTCGGGTGGTGCGGCGGTAAAGGATTTGTCTGCAGTGCAGGAGATGCAGGAGACATGGGTTCGAGCTCATGTGCCAACATAATAAGTTAGTAAACTTTCGGAACAAATGTCAATATGTTTTAACAGAAAGACTGGAGGGTAATCCTAAAGTTATAATGTGAAAGAAAGAAGATCTATTTTCACAAGCATGTTCAACAAGCCTATGGACACTAAAGTACAGAAACCGCTGCCACCTTGATAAACAGCAACTCAGTTCGTCCGTCAACACAGGCCAGAATCCTGACTTCTCATTTCCTCTTATCACCATGTCTGCTCCTTAAGCAAACTGTGTTGATTTAGCACAAAGCATAATTTTTCCACTTTGACTAACTTTTTAGCACATATCATTACCTAACATGCTGTACAGTTTCACTTATTTATCTTCATTTATGATCTGTTTCCCTCAGTAAGGTATTTGTGCACTGAGTTTTTACTTTTTCACCTTTGTTGTCTTTTTGTTCACTGCTTCATCCCTAATGTCTAGAACAACTAAGGACATTTAGCTGTCATTGAATATTTATTTGCTGAATAAATGGATTTAAATGTTCAACAAATCTTATCTGAAGCAACTTCAAGTTAGATCTAGAAACTGATCATCTGTCAATATCTGATAATAGTTTCTTAATCTAAGCCATCACTCTATCTTGAGTAGAAGTCTGTAAGAGCCTCCCTTACTGATCTTCCTATTTCTATGTTTTGTCTCTATTACATGGCAGTCAGAGTAGCTCTTTTACAACCTAGGTTAAATCACATTAACGTTTACTCAAAACCCCCCAATAATTTTGTAGCTCTAAGTAATAGTCATGGTCCAGATTAGGACATGTATGAAATATCAGTCTTCTTCCCACCATATCTCATCCCTGTCCTAAACCCTACCCTCCCTCCCTCCAATCCAGCCACCCCATTCCCTGATGAAAAATAAAACTCACCACAGGGCCTTTGCACTTGCTCCTCTCTCTGCAAGAATGCTCAATCCCTTTTTCATCTAGAGTTCTGCTCACACCATCACATGAGAGAATCTCTCCTTGAGAGATTTTTAAAAGATCTCCTTTAAGGATCTTTCTACAGTAGAACTTTCCATAGTTCTCTGTCTTCTCATAAAGTTTTATTACTTTTATTAGCACCTGACATAACATGATAACATACACATATACAAAACATACATACTATATATGTACATATATATCAGCAACTGACATTGCTATAACATAGATACATAATGTGGTATACATTTATCATATATATATATAGATATATAGATATATATATATCTCATGTGCATATGAATATATGTGTATATATATAAAATGAATATGTACATGTTCTACATGCTTATATTTGTATTGGTGCCTATATAAAGGACAAAAAACAAAGTATATATGTAGAGAGAGAGTACTGATAGACAGTCATTTGTCTCTTCCCACTATAAGTGCTATTGGTGAGGTGATTGTTTTGTTCACTGCTTCACACCCATTATTTAGCTTACTGTTTAGCATCTCATAAGTACTTAGTATCTGTTGAATAAATTGATGAATAGATGGTACACTTATATGTGGGAATATTTTCCATCTGTTAAATTGGTAATTTTACAGATTGAAAACTCATAGAAATGTTTAAAATAAATAATATTAAGTTAAAAATTTGTTTTTCTTAATTTTGATATATTTTATTTCAAATATGCTTTCCCTTATGAATGAAACTTTTGTGATACTATGCAAACTTAAGGACGAAGAGTGACAACTACAGTATGTTAAGAATGTGAAACATTTTCTTACTTTGGCAGAAGAATGGCAGTTTTCCCCTCACCCTAGACCTTTTTCTACTCTTCTTGCCAGAAGCTTATGTGTATCATAAATAGCAGAATTAAAAAAAAAAAACACTGCAGTTGGTATTAACACCAACAAATATCTGTGACAATGAAGAGGACCACATTGCATTTGATTAATAAAGTGAATCCCTCTTCCATTAGAAGAATTATCTGAAATATAAACAAAACCTACTAATGTGTTTTAGTTTTTATTGAGGACACAGACCCTTGTTAGTGTGAAATATGCCCCATGTGGTAAATATTGATTAAATTTCAAACAAATTGAATAATTTCAACAACATTAAATTACAATATCAAATGTATATTTCATTGTCTTAAGATGCTTTTCCCCAGCATTTTAGCATTTCTGAAATCAGGATGGGGTCAACAGTCCATGTTGGACTGTAAAGAGGTCTGAGAGCCAAGGAATTGATGCTTTCAAATTGTGGTGCTAAAGAAGACCCTTGAGAGTCCCTTGGACAGCAAGGAGATCAAACCAGTCAAGCCTAAAGAAACCCCACCCTGAATATTCATTGGGAGAACTGATGATAAAGCAGAAGCTCTAATACTCTGGCCACCTGATGCAAAGAGCCAAGTCACTGGAAAGACCCTGTTGCTGGGAAAAATTGAGTGTTGGAAGAGAAGGGGAAAACAGAGGATGAGATAGTTGGATGGCATCATCGGCTCAATGAACATGAGTTTGAAAAAACTCAGGGAGACAGTGAAGGACCGGGAAGCATGGCATGCTACAGTCTATGGGGTCACAGAGTAAGACATGACTGAGCAACTGAACAAGAGCAAAAATCCATATCTCCTAAAAGTGATTATTAATTTGATGATGCTTTTCACAATTGCTAGTGTCTTAAAATCCAGTAAATTTGATAATTAAGAAAAACAGACTTTCAAAAACAAAAACATTTAACATCTGTCTGGTATAGTAGAAAACAGGTAATTTTGATTATGACAAATGGAACTACTGTTGCTCTCCAGTAGCTGACTGGTAGAAAGACATACACTCTTAAAAAAATAGACAATTGGATTTTATCAAAATAAAAAATCTGTACTTTAAAGAATACCATCAAGAAAGAGGGACAACCTTCAGAATATGAGAAAATGTTTGCAAATTATATATTGAATAAGGGACTTGTATATATGTATATACAACTCTTACAAATGAATAATAGACAAACAACCCAGTTTGAAAATGGGCAAAAAATATGAACAGACATTTCTTTGAAAAAATATACAAGAGGTTCAAAGGAAAAAATAACATGAAAAGGTGAACTGATGATAAAGCAGAAGCTCTAATACTCTGGCCACCTGATGCAAAGAGCCAAGTCACTGGAAAGACCCTGTTGCTGGGAAAAATTGAGTGTTGGAAGAGAAGGGGAAAACAGAGGATGAGATAGTTGGATGGCATCATCGGCTCAATGAACATGAGTTTGAAAAAACTCCGGGAGACAGTGAAGGACTGGGAAGCATGGCATGCTACAGTCTATGGGGTCACAGAGTAAGTCATGACTGAGCAACTGAACAAGAGCAAAAATCCATATCTCCTAAAAGTGATTATTAATTTGATGATGCTTTTCACAATTGCTAGTGTCTTAAAATCCAGTAAATTTGATAATTAAGAAAAACAGACTTTCAAAAACAAAAACATTTAACATCTGTCTGGTATAGTAGAAAACAGGTAATTTTGATTATGACAAATGGAACTACTGTTGCTCTCCAGTAGCTGACTGGTAGAAAGACATACACTCTTAAAAAAATAGACAAT